TTAGCTATTATTGCTTCACCGCTTCTCGCCCTTTTGGCTAAGATCAAAGTGTGGTATATGTTCCCGACTTTTGGGCTCTGAGCGAACTTCAAAGCGGAATTGATAGTACATAAAGCTGTTGACGTTTCGTCCTCAACGTCCTCTTTTTTTTTAAATTGGTGTTTTATACTAGAAAATGTATAGCGTTAGCGTTTTACCTGTCACTGCATTTGGCCACGTCGAGACGACTAAGGCTTGTTCTTTTTTGTTTTTGTTTCTGAATTTTGTTATGAGTTGCTTTTTTCAGTTTCTGTTTTTGTTTTTGGGATGGGGTTTATAGGGGTGGGAGTGTTCTTCTTTTTGTCTTATTTTTAGCCATTCCTGACCTTTTGTCGAGAGTTGATTGTACTTTTACTTTAACCTCCAAAAACATGGATGTTGAAAAGGACCACAGAGATTATAAATAATTAACCCTAATGGGTATTGTAGAGGGTTAACCGTATCATATAAGGATTACTACTTGTTCCTGTTCCAGTATGGCTGTTGGGTTTATATCACATGGACATTGGTAACAGCGTTTGCTTTAGGCGTAAAAGGTATATAGGTAGCGTCCCTGTCAACAAAATGTAGTATTTTGAACTCTAAAACAATATCTGTCTGCCAACACTCCTGTGTTTTCTTTGTCACAGAACCTTACGACTACCCAGCATGGATTATTCCTTTACTTTAACTTCCTAAAACATGGATGTCGAAAAGGACCATAGAAGTTATGAAGGATGAAATGTATCGCATAATTATCTCTACGTGTCCCAGTTCCAGTATGACAGTTGGGTTTTATAACATAGACATTGGTAATAGGGTTTGGTTTAGGCGTAAAAGGTATACTTTATAAAATAAAGTATTTTTAACTCTTAAAACCAAAATATATTTCTCTCCATGCCAACATTCCTCTGCTTTCCATGTCGCAGAGCCCTACGACTACCCGGCGTGGATGCTCATCTTGGTGTTCAGCGTGCACGCCACTGGTGCCTCCATCTTCATCTTTGAGTGGCTCAGTCCTTACGGCTTGGACCAGGGCAAAACTCCACTCAGTGGTAAGTCTGAGCAACTACTACGGGGTGCCCATTGGCACGATGGGTTCGGCTCGGTTCGGGGCTAATCAGATTGAGGTCGCAAATAGCGGACCCGTTGTGGATAAGATTGGGTTTGGTCGGGTCGGTCACCCGACTCGTCACCTGGAAACAAACGCTTTTTTTAGGCGACGAGTCGGGCGATCGATTTGTGCCATGGTAGCCGCTTCGCGCCCTCAGTCGGCCTACCAAATCGACCGGACCCGAACCGATGCTCAAATGGGCTCTTCGTAAAAGTGACCGTTGTGGCGCAACCGGATCGCCCGACTCGCGGTTTCAAAAACAAACTGGGTTATTTTTTTCAGGCCACGAATCGGCCGATCGGTTGGCGATCTGTTTGTCGATCACCCAATGGGCGCCTAGTATAAGATTACTCCATGTTATTGATCCTCAGCAGGAAGAAATTCACAAAGATGGTGGATATTAAAAACTTTTTTTGGAGACAATGAGGATTCGGCAGCCCCATCTAAAATACAGATTGATAATGCCAAGTAAAAGTTGTGCGAGACCGAATACATTTACTGTGGGAAGATTTCTTGTAAACCAGAGGAGAGGGTACCTGCTCTTTGTTTGGACTTTTTCTCTTTCTTTTCTTTCTTTTTTTTTTGGGGGGGGGTCA